GTATGAATAGTCATATTTTTAGGACAAGCACTTGAAGTTTTGAAGACAGTCTTTTTGTATTTGTGTCTTACATTCAACATGTTCCCATATGTTAAATGTTTTGTTTTAGACATTCTAAAACTCCTGGGATTACCACCGGACCACTCTATTTTGTATATTCCCTTCGAGTATTCTTTCATTTTCCTCCTTTATTTGAATTGATACTTCTCATCTCCCACCCCTCAGGAAGATTCATTGACTATATTAGGTTAATGCCTATTATATTAGTAACTCTTAACAGGATCATCCTTTTTTCATTCACAATTTCTGATTTATCACTACTATAAAATCCCTTTCAATATCTTAATGGTTTATTTCAACAGGAAGTATCATTGTTCATTAAACTTGGTAATTACATGTTAGCATGGTAGACAATTCACAATGTGGTAAGATAAACACAAGCATCGGGGACTAAAGGATTCAGGTGCAAGCTGTGTCCATTTCATATTCTAGGAATGAATTGTTGGCAGTCTACTTAAACTCTCAAAGGCTTTATCTTAGGATAAATAAGATCAAGTCACAGATTTATAATAAATATTAATGAAATACTACATGTAAAGTCGTGATACATTAGTAATTCTATAAATGATAGTTATTAACAGTAATAATAAATGATGACTTAGTATGAGATCACAGATTTCTTTTTTCTTTATCTACATGAATCTCTTTCTGTGTTTCAGATTGTTGTTGTGTCTCTCATCATGATGCTATAATAACTCAGTCTCTGTCACCTTCCTTGTAAATATCAAGTGCCAAATAACTAGGGTTCTACTTAACCACTTTTTAACCCCTCAAGCACCAACACAAAAATCTGAATCTGTACGTTTGTGTCTATATGTTGGTTTTAAAAGACAGATGACACTCTGAAATAATGTTTTTCTGTGTTGAGGGTTTACACATGAAAATGTAAATATAATCAAGAAGGCCTCAGTTTTTGTGGACTGAGCACCCATAGATCATTCCGTGTGCCTTTTCCTAAATCAATAATGATTAAATACTGCCACAAAACTCTAAAAATATCAGCAATAAAAAATGAACTGCCTGGTGGGTATGTATCTCCCTGTCCTTGTTTTTCATCCAGTTTCAGTTTAGAAAAGCAGTGACATTACTATTGAGATCTCCAGGGGAATCTCATAATTATAAAAAAATCACCATTCAGCACTTAACATTTCACCCAGTGAGACAGTTGATTGCTTTCTTAGCTACCCTCTTCTGCCACGAGATTAAGGCCATTTCCCGTCATTTAGCTGAGAAGTGAAAGAGCAGCTACACATGTGCTGGGCACCCTGGCTTTAACACAGGCAGCATCCAAGGAGCACCGAGGCTGAAGTCCACCTGTGGGTACAGGAGAGATGAGAGAAGCTTGTGCTGAATATAACCTGCCTCCTCTTTGTCCTGGGTGACTCCTGAGCCACAGTAAGAGCCTAGAACTGCTTGTTAAATATTAGCTGTTAAAGTAACAAGAATTTTCTCTGTGCTCCTTAGAGGAAAAGAAGAAGAGACTTTATTCCCAGGAACCTGAAGGGGAAGATGCCCTTAACTCTCTGACCAAGAAGCAAAGCGATCGATAAGCAAAGCACTGATGTTGCTCAGCTCCTACTTGTTTTTGTAAATCCAGTACAAGCAGCCTCTCTTCCATGAGGCTGTCCTCCAGTGCTGCCAGGCAGCAGGACGTGGCTCCTGCACTTTCCCATCACAGTCTCCTCACTGCTTTTTCAGTGCACTGATTACTCCACACTGTAAAACCAGTCAGTGTCAGTCCTTGAGGAGTCGGTACCATGCCTTCCTTACTGGAGCAGCCCCAGCACAAACTTCAGAAGGGCCTAGAATCTAGTTGGTACTCAGGAATGTTGGTGACATAAACACCCACATGACTAAATAAAAGAATAAATGAATAAGAACATGAGTGTCTTAAAGGAACTGAGAATTGTGGGAACCTGACAAGTCAGAGGCTCAACTTAAGGGATAAGGATGATGTACCAGACAGTGGCGCGTCTCTTGAGCAGGGAGGGGGCTAAGCCTCAGTGTTCTTCACCCTGCTTTGTGACAGAACTGGCCTTGCTGAACCTCTCTGACCTGAGAGGAGAGAGTGGAATCCCAAATGTGTGTCAGATCTGAGGGAATTCCTATGATCAGGAGGGATCGCTACTGTCACTAAGCCGAAAGTCTCTTCTTTGATGTGACATGACCCTTCTCCTTAATTCTCTTCTTAACACTGGCCTGGACTCTATGAGAGTGAGAAAGAGGGAGAGACAAGAGCACACACTGCTATTGGAGGAGGACACAGAAGCAGAGTGTCCATGATACTGGCCTAATAAGAAAGAGGTAGAGCTCCAGAGAACAGACCTAAGACACACAGATAATTGATTCATTATGCCTGACAGCACTGTTCCCTGGTCTCTTGAAAATGCACAGTTTAGTCTTAAGTCAGCCTTGAGAGAGACTCAGCAACACAGAGAGAACTGAGAAAAACACAAAATGCCTGGACTCAGAAATCTTCCACTACAGCCTTACCTGCTCCGCTCCAGGGATTCCTAGACTCCCATGAAGTCCTTCTGCACTACCTAGGAACTACTAAAGATGATTGGGTATTTTGTTCAGAAGGCTTCACTGCAGTCTCTGACACTCAAGGGAAACCCAAAGACCTCACTCAAGGTCAGTGCAGTTAAAGTTTCCCAAAGTTAGGAAACATGAGTTCTAGACCTGGCAAGACTAGCACTGATTGTGTCCTCCTGCAC